AGATTGAGACCAATTTTTCTTTTATCGTTTCATTATGTAACTTGTACCGAACATATAGAATATGAGATACCTCCTCCATCATATGTCTGATCACAGTACACAGGAAAAAGGCCCCAGTCATGGTAAGATGTATTGTAAACTCCCGTTATGTTGGGTGCATCAGAACAATTATGAAAGTCTGAGGAAAAACAATTTATATCGAATCAGTACAGTAGAGAAAAAACCACATAGGCTGCGTCCCGTATAATTTAACCTCGTCATGATGAGCAGAAAGAAACGGAATATATAACTTTTAGATATAACATGATAAGATGATGAAGCCAAGTTAGTGAATAATGAAGATTTACGCTTTTTCCAAATCAAATTTATTTGATCGCCATTAACAGTCAAGCAGTTTAAAGCATCTCGCTACATAATTATGCGCTCATGGAATAAAACTTAGACGCTTTGGATTTGGAAGAAACGAACAATCGCGATGAGAGTTTCCATCCGTCTCGATTAGCAAATATTGTGTTTTTATTGAAAGCGTTGTCGTTGTCGTCGTGTTTTTTCATAAGAGAAATAACCTAAGGAGAGAAGATACGTACGTTCTTTGGCAACTAGGTTGCTGAAGTTTAATGGCGTCGACGTGATGTTTTTCATACAACGGTATCCTTTGCTGGTGTAGCCCGCTTGACAAGTCATATTCTTCCCGCAAAAATCAGTGTTACATGGACTCTGATGATACAAGGACAATAATTTTCTCAGAAAACCCTTCGGAACACTCTTTTTTAACGGACCTGTCATTATCTATTACCTGGGGTAAGGAGGGGGGGGGGGGGGGGGAAGTAGTTGTCGCGTTGTCACCAGCAGAGTCTAATAGGTGGTCTACAGCAAATTGAATGAAAATGAAGGGGGGAGGGAGGATCATAAGAATCTTACAGAGCCTCGTGGGGGAGACAAGATATATTTTAATGTGACACAACCCAAATCCTCTAAGGATCGTCTTTTTGGTCAAAGATACCATAGACTTAGGTCCAACGCAAAATCTTAAGCAGTCAGGACGGCAACGCCACGGAAGACTTCGACTAAAAGTTGAATTTCTGCCTTTAATTAGAATTTCAAAAATGGCTGCATACTGTGCCACACCTCAACTTCAGCATAACGTATAAAAGAAGCGGTGAGTTCCAAATGGAAATTAAAATAATTTGCCGACGCGGTTTCAGTTCGCAGACTTCGCAAATTGAGGTGATTTCACGTTGATGTTTTGCATAGGACGGCTAAGAAATGTACAAAGTTTTAAAACGCACGTGCCGAGCTATTGTTCTGCCAATAAGATCTTTTGTTTTCCATGTCCTTGTTGCCGCCGCCGTCGTGGTTTGCTTAAGTTCCCTATTAACGAAACTGGTTCTACGTAGAATGAACGAGTGGTAGTCCATTGATTCCAGCTTTATGCATCATTTTTGGTGGGGTTTGTCGTAAAATGATAAATCTCTTGGTAATGATTTGACAATGAGTCTATTCAAGTGGCACATTTTAGTTTTGAGTAAAGGTAATACACCTAAAGTTACATTTAAAAACACTGCTCAGGTGGACGAGCTCACCTAATTGGCCTCCTTGTGCTTACACCTCTAGTGGCGGCTAGCTACATTAAGACACCTACTTTGTATTTCTCTTCCCAGTAAAAAGCACAAAAAAGAGATTTGAACGTAAGACACATTTCAGTCGACTCCCTAGGGAGTGGATCACGGATGAACAGACCTTTATTCCCTGGTAGGTAAATCCTAACCGCTGAACCAAGTCTCCCGGATGTCGTACGTCAGTGGAGTCGCTGATCTCACACAAGTATCGGTTGCTATGTTCCAGCGGTCCAACATTATAAGACAAGCAATTGGGTTCAAGGAAACATCGGATGCTGCAGACATCTTCTCTTGGTATATCTATTCTTATCATAACATGATTGAGGAGAGTTCTGTCTTTCATTGGTTTAAAATAAAGCAGTAGTCTGCATTCTTCTTCAGCTGCTAAGAAATGAAATGAGTTCGATGAATAAGGCATATCTTACAAAGTATTCTGAGAATGACAACAAGTTCTCAGACCTTGTCATCAGGTTACCGGTTCCCTTTTTTTTCAATTGTTCGACAGAGAACGTCGTAGAGAATATAAACATCCAATTGTAGGGTAGAAAGTACTTTTCCTAGATTTACTTTCGTTTTGTTTTGTATGTTTGTTTTTAACTTACAAGCTGAAAGAACTAACAAGTCGTCAGTGTACGTTTTCAGCGCCCATACTTTTTTGGGGGGAGTAGGATGACAATGCAAAAAATACGAGAAAAAGCTGCATTATTATGTTACAAGATAATCTGGTTTTATCGATTGAGTTGAATATGTAAATTTGCCACCGTAAAGGATTTCAGAGCTGATTTTTTCAAGCGTTTGCTTTACGTCGGAGCAGATAGACGGTTTCATGAGAGCAAATGTCGATCTACACGAGCGTTTTAAAGTTCTGTATTTCTCCCATGCCCTTTGCAAAAACAAATACACTTTCAAATTGCAAATGTTTTCCTAAATTTGGAAGTTTCGCAATTTACCAAGATCCGTTGTTTATTTTGCATTCTTTCTATGCCTTTTTTTATCAATTTTGTCAAGCAAACTCATCAAATTTTGCGCCTTCCGGCAGGGGTCTCCCCAGGATGCTTGCCTGAAGGAGAAAGTCTGGCGCCGTCAGAAAATGAAGCACTTTCAATGCCATAAGATGAAAATGTTCTTTGCTATGGAAGTTCCATTTGTTTGTCGTATGACTTTTTGATTATAATGGTAATAGGACCGAGGAGTCAGACGAGTGATTAACAAAATCGATTTGTCAATCACGAGTATGATTACAGATAGAGTTGGACGTCACGGAGTCCTGTTACCAATTAATCATAACCGTTACAATTTCCGAGAAAAAATACACCTAGGACAAACATCTCCGGCAGGGACAATGTCTAAAATAACATTCCTCTATTTTAGAAAGTTTTCTTTCAGAATAAGTGGTTGTTGCTATGGTTATTTTGATCAATTCTGTGATTGGTGGATCGAGTCGAGTGGACTTAGTATAATTGTATGCTTCAACTCTCCCATTACAGGTGTCCGATAACGGCCAACTGTCTGTTCATAACTGTACATGATAAGTGAAAAATAGATCAGCTAAAGCACCAGTCACATTTGAGGAAATTGTAATGGTTATGATTAACCCCGTAGTGACATAAAGGCGGCTCTGAGGAGGGCTCGCCGTAATCAACTCCTTCAAATGAACGGAGATTTTCGTTTTTATGAATAAAAAGATGAATGAAAAACTGACTTCTCAACTTTCATTAGAGCTGAATTAGGAGGACCAAGTCAATTAAAACCATGCAGCGAGGGAAATTCGTGTTTCATTCTAATATCAATTACTTCGGGCCCTTATTAATGGACACAATGTTTCGTTTCCTACTTTCCTTCGGTTGTATTCTCTCTCTACTTCATGGCTAAGGTTCTATCAACTGTAGCCCTTTTTAAGTTACGCTATTTCCATGTTATGCATTTGTGAACGACAGCGGTGAAAGACATGCAATTCTGCAAGAATCGCCGTTTGG